CTCATTCTGATGGCAGATGACGTGCGAACCGACGATGGGCGCGCATGTGTTGAGCGTGAAGACATTCCGGATGAAGGGCTTCTGCTCACCATAATTCACCACCATGTTAGCAATCTGAATGACAGGGTCCTCCTCCGGAACCGGGAAAACACCTACATATATTCAGAAAACACGAGGTTGAGATGCCCTCTGAGATGAAGTATCATGCATGCATACATGGATCCTGAGAAAAACAAATATAGGTCAGACATGCAGCTACATGATACCAACAGCTATAGATTACGTCATTAAACAAGAATAGCATGTGTTAGGTTCGGTATAATTTACCCTTTCGACCAGCGCATTCAATGTCGAAGCTGAGGATACGCAGTGGGGCAATCTTACTCCATTCACCCTCAGTAGGGTAGATCACCAGCTCGTCGAAGGCAATGTCTACTTCGATCTGGCAACGCGTTTGACCGGGCAGAGGCGACAGACGTTCGGTTTCGTTGGCGAAGTGATGCACCTGCATTTTATTCGCTGACTGCGATTTCGTCGGAGTTGTAGCTTGTCGTCTTACGCGGTAGAGATATTTTCCGGCCGGCAGTTCTATCCAACAACACCCGGTCATACCAACGTCCACCATAAAACGTATCTCAAAGTCGATGTTGGCTTCAAATGGAGCGTAGGACTAAGGCACAATTAAGAGACATTAATCAGCTATCTGTTCGCTGAAAATACGAGGAAAATAATTTGGTTTACATTTAAGGGTAATCATTGAGAAAATAGCAAACTGCTTACTTGTAGAGACATCGAGGAAAATGCGAAACCATTTTCTAGGATCCGCTTGGCAGGTGCGATGAAACGCGGCAGGGCCAAAACAATTTTCAGGAACTTGTGCTTCTCATTCTTGTGAAAGCCCATTATGTCTAGTCAGAGTAAAAATATAAACGCGTGTAATATGCCTCCCACACATAGACAGAGTCAATGCCACATCCTATTTTCAGTACCTATTAACATAAACCATTTTGGGAATTGATCTACTGATAAACATGGACGCAAAGTTTGCAAGCAATTCAACTCCCAGTTTCTTATTGCGCTTACTTTCTTTTAATTCACAGGTTACACACAAAACGATCTCCCGAATGCCTTCGCTTTGGTTTCCCTTCAAGTCACGCAACAAGGCCTGGTTCAGTTCACGGCGAAAAGCAGACACATAGGCCTCCTGAAAGTTGTCTGGTGCACGCACATAGAAGTAGGGCATAAATCCATGCACATGGGCGACCACGCTATTGCCAGACTCCGTGACACCAAAAATTCTGATTATCGCGACCAGGCTATGGTCGGGGCCTGGCATTCCTTCGATTTTAGTACCCTAAAGGGAAAAGAAATAACCACTTAAAACACACTTAAATAAAAAAATATAATAAAGAAAAAAGCACGCCAACTGTATTACCTTGTAGAAGTCCACATCAATCTGTTGAAACACAATCTTGTCTTTGACTGCGGATAAGTTTTGAATTGGCGGCCTGGACCAGCTGTGATGTTTTACGAGTTTATCTTCAATTGCCAAGGCATCACCTTCGTCGACCAAAACGGTCTCGACCTCCTCCTCTTCGTCGAGTAGCATTAACTCCTGCTCGAAAGTTGATGGGGCATCATCTGTGTTGCTCTCATTAGGTCTGCGAAATAAATGATAGGGATTTTGTTAGAGGGTTAGTATCCGTATACATTGTAATCATGAAGCAGACAGAGCGACAATGTTAGATAGCTACATCTTGATTTCCATTGAAAATTATTCCAAATAAGACGTCGACTCTAGGCGAAGTCATGTGGTAACATCGTTTACGGACTAAGCGTGACTACAG